GGATTATCCAAACCTCTCTCATGCGATCACGTGGTTGTCCCTTCTGATGTTGAGGGTTGTCGCCAACCACCCGTGGAAGATCTCCAGGGTTACCTAACTCGCAAATGCACCATACGCGAGGCGAATCCTCAGTGTCACTGTGAAAGGCTTATCCAAATAGTACTCGTCGATTACCAGTGTATAGGAACGGTGAAACCTTTGGTGTTCGAAAGGCTCACTCAATGCTCTTCCTAACCGAGATCTTCTCGTTGAAAGCGTAGCCACCAAAGAAGGCGCACCGTCGATGATTTGGAACTCTCATCTATTACTGTTAACATGACGGGGAAGGGTAAAAATGTACTTCTAGATCCTCCAGACTTAGACTCCTTCCTAGGGCCCAGTCACCTGCTGGTTCAACACGAGCGTGATGGTATATTCCTACACACCTATAGTCGTACAGGAGTAAACATCCCGCTCGATTATGCTCTCCTCGCACCCCCTTCTGGGGGTGAAGAGGAAGTTTGCTCAGCGGCAGCCACATCTCAAACATCACACTCGAGTCATGGCGACTCAGCAAGGGTGTACATGGCTGAAACCTCGAGTGATCAGATGATCGCTCAAAAGTTCGAAGAACATCAGGTTGCCATCGAGTCCATAAGAGACATGCTGGAGCAACTTCTGAACAAAAAGAAGAAAAAGAAGGTTACGCATACCCCACGGAGGCCGGCGGGAGGTAAGGAATGAGAACCTACTCCTAATCAGACGACTGAACAGGAGGATAATGTTGAACTCCTGTCAGATCACTCCTCAAAGTCATCGGTAGGGATGTCACGCTCTGGGGTACTACCCGAGATAAGAGATTCGACGAGTTCTAAAGCCAACTCAATGCCTTAAAGCTCCAACAAAACATGAACAAACTGGGGGTGGTCAGGTCGTACCCTATAAAGCCAACTCAATGCCTTAAAGCTCCAACAAAACATGAACAAACTGGGGGTGGTCAGGTCGTACCCTATTGAGTGGGACACGATCCCTTACCCTCCAACAAAACATGAACAAACTGGGGGTGGTCAGGTCGTACCCTATTGAGTGGGACACGATCCCTTACTCGGCAAAATCCAAACCCATCAGTTTGGTACAATTCGATGGTAAGGGCTCCCCTTCACAGCATATCTACTACTTTATGGCTCAGACCAGATTCCTCACTGGGAGCGACGCCATCCTCACCCAGCTATTCATCGGCACCCTCAAAGGTGTAGCCTTCGAATAGTTCCGCAAGTTGAAACCAGGCTCTATCAAGTCATGGGCCGATGCGGAAAGACTCTTCCTAGCCCGCTTCTTCGATGATGATACTGAGGTGTCAATGGCAACCCTCCTGGCCGAGAAGTAAAATAAGTCAGAGTTGATCAACGACTTCGTAAAGAGGTTCAGGAACAGATCAGTTCATTAATGAGACCAAGTCTCTGAAGTGATGCTGATTGAGATGTGCCACAACAACATTTCAATCCATATTCTGTCCAAGGTTGCCACAGTAGAAACCCGAACCTGAAAAGAACTTGTTCGCCAGGGTGAGCAGGTCGAGGACGAGGAGCCTCACCCCAAAAAGGGAGCTGCAAAAGCAAGCACGCCAAAGAATCCCTCTCGAGCTAGAGGAAAAGAGATCATGGCCGTTAATGTTGACTTTGCTACGGTGCCCAAACCGGCCTAAAGGCCGAAACACAGGGCATTCGAACAATGTCCCCCGAGGCAATACGACTTCTGGGAAGACCAAGTGGTAGCAACCCTAGACACGCTCCTCAAGTGCAACAGGATTAAGTGGCCAGAAGTAACCAAGCCTGAGGAGGTGAACAAAACCAATGAACCGGGCTACTACGTGTATCAAAGGGTCCTCGGCCACCATACCTCCAAATGCTATATCCTCAAGTATAAGCTTCAAGCCCTATACGATGCGGGAGTTCTAAAAAAGGAGAGGGTATAGAAACAGGTGACCACAAATATGATCACTCTGAGTTTTGGAAGAGATCTCCCAGAGGTCCAAGCACCGGCGAGGGTAGTTCCCATCCCCAAAGTAATGCTGAAGATCACTAACAATGATCCTCACAATCAATGAAGAAAAGGTTTAGTACCCCAAACCTTATCGTCAGGGCAAGTGATGTGGCTCTATCCGGACCTCCTTGACGATGAGCAATGGACTTCAAAGCCTTCAAGGAGGACCAAGGGTAAACCTTGCAACGCCGTCTCCGCTATCCTAGATAAAGGCAAAACGACAGTAGCTGATGTGGCATAAACATGTACCAAAAATATTGCAAATGCACAACCATGTAAAGTTATAATATAAAAAGTTATCGATCCCACGAGGAAGGTGTTTTGTAGGAGAAAATTAAAATTAGTTCTTATGTTGTGTGCGTGACAAAAAGGAGTGATGAGTGAATGTGATTGTGGAAAGATAGTGAAGGTGATAGTGTGTAAATAGGCACAAAATATAAGTGAGAGTGGATGTGACAATGAATGAATGATTTTTACAAGGAGAGATGAATAAAATCAAGAATCAAAAAGGAAAATCAAGAATAAAAATAAAATTCAACAAAGTAAAGATGGCGGATTCAATTAAAGATATGGGTAATCTAGAATTGCATCCACTTCTTAGAAAAGGGTGATTCCCTAGAGGGTTCTAGCCTAAAAGCAAATTAAAAAAAATAAAAATAAACAAAAATAAAAACTAAACCCAAGAGGGTTCTAGCCTCAAGGTGAATAGTGCAAGAAATTAAAATCTAACTACAAAATAAATTACAAAATCTAAACTATAAAATAAATTGCATAAATTAAATGTAAGAAAATAAATCTACTCTATAAGTATGAAATAAATCTAAGGTAAGAGGATTCTAGCCTCTTGGCCATTTAAACAAGAAAATAAAATCTAACTACAAGCATGAAAACAAATCTAAACTAATAAGCAATAAAAGAGAAATAAAAGAGAAAACAAACCGCCAAATTAATCTTCATCTCCATCTTCATCATCCAACAAATAGAAGAAAAATTTAAAGTGGTGAAAAAAATTAATTTATTAATTGTAACAAAAGTTATAAATTTGTAAAGCCTTCTCAATTAAGAGTAACCCTCCTCTCAAAATGGAGTTACAAAAATTTTCATACCCTAACCCCTCACTCTTTACCCTTATTTATAGTAAACATCAGTGAATGAGAGCCTTTGGATCAAACTTGAGCCCCAAGAATGTAATTTAGACCGTTGATGAATTCTGGACGACTTGGCATCGATACTGGCATCGATGCCCACATCGATGCACGCATCGATGCTAGCATCGATGCTCCAATAAAAATTTTGACTTCACAGTTGGTTCCAATAAAAATTTTGACTTCACGGTTAAATTCCGCTTTCCAGATTGGGAGATATCGTTGTTTCTTTGCGGCCAACTATCTTGAATACATTTTTTTTATATTTGATTTTTTTATTTTCTCCGGCTTCTACAGGCTACTCGGCTTGATTCTGGGCTTGGGTTTTTTGGCTCTTGCTTGTGTTCTTCATTTAATTCATAGGTTTTTGTTGAGAAAAGAGATCTTGGGCTTTATTCTTCATTAACCAGCAATTAAAGATAAAAACAATTATTAATGGCATATTTATTCATATAAATTAGATAATAAGGGTATAAAATTATAATAAAATATGATTATCAAATACCCCTACACCTAAACTTTTGCTAGTCCTCTAGCAAAGAAAGAAAAAGGAAAGAAAAGCTAACTCACTTTCGTAGGAATCGCGGTTGTATTTAGCACATACAACAAGCTTTTAAACCCCTAGGTTACCCTAGTGGATGAGTTGTAGTCTCGTGAGGGTTAGCAGTGAATATACACACAAAATTCGGTCAACCTGCCAAATTAAAGAAGTCAGTAAATAACTAAATTTACTTGATAACTTTAGACAATCAAATTGAAGCCAGTTATCACTCAAGAAAACGTTTTTATATATAACTCTAAAGTATATTTCTAAGAAAATCTTCTCATTATAGCAATACAAAATTAAGCCAAACTTGGAAATTTAATTTAAAAGTTTTGAAAAGAACATGCTAACTCTTTATTTTAAATAATTTTCAAGTTGCTTGATCTAAAATAATTTCCAAGACCATATATACAAATATAACTATATATATATATATATATATAGTATTTTTAAACCAGTTTTGGGCCAATGGATCCTAACCCAATTGGGCTAAGGTCATTAGTATGGAAATACTCCTTGGGCTTAATTACTCGGTCAGCTTAGGCTTTATAAGATAGAATCACCTTGAATTCAAGAGTTTTATTTTTTATTTTTATTTTTGCTTTAATTTCACTACAAGAAATTGCACTTTTCTCGACGCTTATTCCCGACGCATGGTTAAATACGTTGCCAAAAATTATGTTTTTCCTGACGATTTTAGTTAGCATCGGGAAAACATATATTTTTCCCGACATTTATAATTAGCGTCACTAAAAGTATATATTATTAGCGACGTTTTAACTAAGCGTCGGTAAAAGTGTATGGATTTCCCGACGTTTTTTATTTTCGTCGGTAAAAATATATATATTTAGCGATGTTTTAGGGTTGGCGTTGCTAATAGTATACATTTATCGCGACGTGTTAGGTTTGCGTCGCTAAAAGTCTCTTTTTGGCGACGTGTTAGGTTAGCTTTGCTAAAAGGTCCTTTTTTAACGATGTTGTTTTATTCTTCTGCGTCGCCAAAAATTCATTCGGTCCCCCCTCCCCCGCCCAAATTTCATTCGTTTAATTCATTTCCCCCAAAATTTCATTTGTTCCCCCTACCCCCAAAATTTTATTCGTTCCCCCTAACCCTATCCCCCCGCCCCGCCACCTCCAACTCATTTCTCTCATTCCCCACTAATCTCCTCTCTCTCTCTCTCTCTTCTGATCACAGCCGCCCCCAAGGATCTGCTCTTTTCCCATCTCATCCCTCAAAAGTTCATTCTGTTCCGAGAGTGGCTGAGAGAAACCAGGGCTAGGGTTTATTGATGGCGGAGTCATCAGCGAGGGCACGGTTTTTTGTTCATGAGAAGGGGATGAATGGCCTCGATAAGCTCTACCTTAGAGGGCCTCTATCGAGTTCTGCTGAGGTAATTCATTTGCCCTTAGCTTTCCGTTGAGAGTCTTGCTTGAATGAGACAGTTTGGGATCAGGACTTTTTGTTTCTTTGTTGTTGTTGTTGTTGTTGTTGTTGTTGTTGTTATTGTTGTTGTGAGTACGATCGATTAATGAGCTCAATCTATGTGATTCTTGTTGAACCTGCTGGTTTCTGTGCTCGTCTGACTTAATTTAGGCTGTATCTTTGATTTTCTTGAAATGTTCATTAATTAGTTCTCTCTCATTCAGATTTATGTAAGAGAATCTTAGTGCAATGGGAGTTTGGGATTCGGATTTTGTTTCTTTTGTGTTGCTGCGAGTGCAATTGATCAGCTGAATCGATCCGTGCGATTCTTGATGAATCTTTTGGTTCATGTGCTTGTTAATTTGATGTAACTTAGACCATGCTTTAATGTTCTTGAAATGTTCATATGCTCGTTCATGGCTGATTCCTTGAGATCTTTCTGGATGTCGGACCATATCAGGACACAAGATGCAACGTCGCTCAATTTCTTGAATTTTTTTAGTTCCCCCAAGGATGTGCTCTTCCCCTCTCCATTCACTCACCCCCTTCATCCAGTACCAATGGAAACCCATCCTCAAAGGCCCATTATTATCCTTCTCAGCGGGCTAATTAGGGTTTAGGGGAGGTTTTGTGAAAATACGCAAAAATGAAATAGGGTCAGAGATCAAAGGAGGAGAGGAAGAAGAGATTGATGCAGAGGTCAGCCGTTTCTCTTCTCCGATCTCTCCGATCTCGTAGTGATTTCTCAACTTCAAGCTCAGATAACATCGTGGCCTCCGTTCTCTTCGAGTTTATTTTATCTCTCAGAGACTTCATGCTTCATTGATGTACATTGTATTTCATATTGTTCATGTGACATAATTCTTACTGACTTTTGATACTGAACAGTTAAAAGCAGATAAGCATTGCATTATTTTGAACCTATTTTTAACATTTGATAAGGTTATTCCAAAATATCTAAAAAGCTACAAATTACATATTGCTCTTTATTATCAGTGAGACTATGACGTAGCCTGAAGTAGACTTCTTGTGTAGGTTCCATCAGGCGAAGTATTAACCTTTGGTGATGATAACTTTATGATGTTGGAAGAAGAAGGCATTAGAGAAGCACAGAATGTTGCATTTGTTCTTGTCGCAGGTGGGCTTGGCGAGCGGCTTGGGTACAAGGGGATTAAGGTGCAATCTTATTTTCTCTCATACTGATAAATTAGTCCACTTGTATGTTGCTAGTATTTCTCCCTTTTGTTTCTTACTTTAATTTAGGAGACATGTTAAAGAACTCATGTTATGGGTATGCTTTGGGTCTAGGGTGCATATAAATGATAAATCATCATATGGTTTGTCATACTTGGGTTTGTGCATTTAGTTTTATGCATTTGGTTGAAAAAAACTATATTTTTACACTAAGGACTTCCATTTGACTTGGTATATTCACATTATGTTTCTTAAACATATAAAATGCGGTTAATCCTGTTGTGAAGAGCAATCTATTCTGTTCAAGTTTAACTTGATTCCTGAGTTCTAATGATTTTGATAGAGATTAGAAAGGATTTGGAACAAGTACGTCCTTTCTCATCAATTCAATGCTAGATATGGTTTTGAAAGTAGAAATGTCTGATTAATGTTAATTGTATATTAGAAACAAAAACCACTCCAGACTTTGGATGAACTTGTTTTCGCAAAAAAAAATTCTTCGGAAAACTTCACTAGCAGCTCAGTTTTTATGGCATCCTAGTGTCCAAACACAATCTTGTATTGTTTTCTATGAAGTTGTTGTTTTCTATGAAGTTGTTGTTTTCTATGAAGTTGC